GAGAGGAGAGAGAGAGAGAAGGAAAGAGGAGAGACAGTAACAGAGAGACAGAGACAGAGAGAAGAAGAGAGACAGACAGAGAGAGAGAGAGGAGACAGAGAAGGAGACAGAAGGAAAGAGAAGGTGAGACAGTAACAGAGAGAGACAGAGAGAGAGAGAGAGAAGAGAGAGAGAGAGGAGAGGGGGAGGGGAGGTTATGCTTGGCTCTGCCTCTGAGCTCTCTGGCTGTCCTCTGGAATTGTGGTCGGTCAGGGCGTGGGTCAGAGCGCCCAGGTCTTTCAGAGTTGGTTGTGCAGTATTACTGACCCCGGATCCAGTGCTGTGTGTTCTGTCTGTGTGATCAGAGATGTGATCATGGTGCTGGTCAGTGCTTCCGCAGGGCCTTAATGCTTCCCATCTGTGATCTCATTTGACCCTTACCACAACCCTGGAAGAGCAGTCCTATTATTATCATCATTTTACAGACGAGGAAACTGAGGCTCAGAGGTTAAGCGACATATCCAGGGTCACACAGAGGAAACAACAACCAGAAAGGGATTGATACGTGGGTCTCCTGGACGCCGCTTCCAGCGCTCTAGCCGCGTGGCCCTTCAACAAGGACATCTAAACTATGACTGACTCTAGTCAACCAGGCCAATTGAAATTGTCTTCAGATTTGTCAAGAAGAAAAGGTCCCTGCTTTTCTTCAGTGGCAGCTAGATGGCGCGGTGGATAGAATGCTGGGCTTGAAGTCAGACCTGAGTTCAAGTTCAGCCTTAGACACTTAGTAGCCGTGTGACTCTGGGCAAATCACTTAAGCTCTGTCTGCCTCAGTTTCCTCATCTGCAAAATGGGAGCAATTACAGCATCTGTTGCCCAGGGTTGTTGTGAGGAAAAAATGAGATGGAATTTGTGAAGCACTTAGCACAATGCCTGGTACACAGCGATCACTACATACTTACTCAAGAATATTTCTTCTCTTCCTCCTTCCTCCCTCTTTCCAAGTGATTATCTCAATGAACTGCTGTCAGTTAGGACTGAGCCATGCTCTGGGATCTAACCACCAGAGAGGCCAGGCAACATTGAGCGTAATGTGGAATGCCAGGAAGCCTTTCATTGGTTCTTCCCAGGGCCCCAGTAAATCGGGGTGTTAGCGCCTGGAAAGGGGCAGAGGTAGGCGTCTTAATTTTTCATAGGAGCATCCTCTAATTTTAGATCTGTGTGGAAGCTTAGAGAGCATCCAATTCACCATTGATAGAATTCTGAGATGAGACAAACTTGGTCTCTTCTTATCCAACTGCCACATTTTATGGAGGAAGAAACTGAGTCCCAGGAAGGGTCTTGCCCAGAGTGACCCAGAGGTGGAGTCTGAATTCACTGGTCTCCCCTCTCCAAACCGTGGGCCCTCTCTGCTTCCTGTCTCTGGCCACTGGCTTCCAGTGGCAACTCTGTCATTAGCCAACCAAGGCGGATAGTGCCAGCGTGACACAGTTCACGCTGAACCTCAGCCCCGTGTTGGACAGCCTGTCCCTGTGGGATTGTCATTCTGATTCTGGAAGGAATGTCCTCTGGGGCTGACCAGAGATAGGACACCCAGTAGGAAGCTTCCAAGGTGGGATTGGAACCCCTTCTGACCCCTGAGCCAGGACTCTTCCCAAAGAGCGGATAGACGTAGAACTCTGTAAGACTGAGACCAGAAAGACACAGCTCTTTTAATCTGATGCTCAACGACCTTGAGGCTTTGGTAACTAAGAGCAGGAGCTGGGGATTTCATTTCTGTGTCATTGACAGGAAATTTCCTTGTTTAAAAAAAAAAAAGGAAAAATGTTTCATCATTTCTCCAAAAATGCTTCTGTCTGTCAGGTTTGTCAGTGAGATCTGAGAAGTGCCAGGAATGAGTCTGGGATTACCAGGGGCTGTGGCCACAAGACCTGCCCTGCTTACCTTGGGCCTCTGCTTTTGTGCTTGTTTCTCTAGGAGCAAGGAGAAGAAAGGACGTTAGTCCTGGAAGGAGGCAGCAGCGGGAGGAGGGACGCCACCTGGGCAATGCTGTCTGGCCTGCTGAACGTGCGGTGAGCAGTCTCTGTCTATCTATCTATCCATCTATCGGTGCCTCTCTGTGTGTACATGTGTCATGTATGTTGGGCTGCATAGGTCATATGTACCATACAGATGAGATACAGGGTGTCTGATGGTGCCAGGGTCATTGGCCTGGTGTCAAAGCAAGTCAGTTCCTACTTTGGTCTCCAGTTTGATAAAGGCCGAGATGATCTCAAGGGGCCCTCCCAGCTCCAATGTCCCCTATCCTAAGGGAATGTGTTCCTCAGCCTCAGTTTACTCTCCTGAGCCTCAGTTTCTTCGTCCATAAAGTGAGGAGAATATCCCCTGTGGTGTCATCCATATGTCTCAGGGTTGCTTGGAGGATTAAGTGAAATGCCAGCCCTAAGGCACCCCAGAAGCATCGCTGTCCTTGTCATTAACCCAGTTTCTCACCTTTCCTTTGGGTGCCCAAGGCCATAGAAATCTAGTGTCTCGTCTTCAGAAAAGAGGAGCTGTTGCCTACAGTGGCAATCTGCCAGAAGTCAGAGGGCTTGGAGGGATTTAGAATAGGGAGGGCAGCATTGCCTCGAGGAGAACCCTTTGGGAATGGTAAGGGGAGGCAAAAAGAAGCCCTGGACTTGGAAGTAGGAGATCTAGCTTTGAATCTGAGAGAGAGTTGGGTTGGGGAAGAGACAGAGGGAGGGGAGGGGAGAGGAGAGAGGAGGGAGGGGGGAAAGAGAGAGAGAGGGAGAGAAGAGGGCAGGGAGGCAGGGGAGAAGGAGGGGGGAGGAGAGAGGTGGAGGGAAGGAGAGAGAGAGAGACAGAGAGAGTGAGAGAGAAAGGGGGAGAGAGAGACAGACAGAGGGAGATGGAGGAAAGGAA